GCTATGCTATGCTATGCTATGCTATGCTATGCTATGCTATGCTATGCAATGCTTAGCAACCTTGAAGCATGTGGACTGAAGTCACACGGATAAGAATAAAGCTCAGAGAATTTAGATAATGTCCTGCCTGACCTGTCTCTGATTCTGAAAATTACCCAGAATCCTGTCCATATATGAACGTATCACAATGGAACATAGAAAGAGTGCCAGTTAAATCTGCCATAAAAACACAAGAAACTTCATAGAAGCAAGACTGAATGTTCCATTACTTGTGAGGTCTAAATCACCAGATCTTAACCTTCGTTCCTGACTCAGGAGTGTACCTTGTCAAAGTGTTTACAACTTACAAAAGTTGCAGAAGTCTACAACTTTTATTTTATAATGAACTACAGTATTTTATAATTTATGGGAACATAAATTATATCCAGGAACCCTTTTTCTTATTACATTTATCTTGACTCTGCCCATCCGCTTGATAGCATAACAAGTAAAAAGAGCAAAACAGATTCCCTTTACTTATTCGAAGAGAAGTAAACTAGCCGCTGTTATGAGCCTTTGAATCATTCATCTTTGACTCAAAGAAACATTGAGGTGTGTGGCATTATCGCTGGGAAGGACAGCCCAAGACGGATCAAGCCATCATCTTAACCATGTGAAACCAGCCTGATTCTTCCTGAGAAACTAAGCAAAATTGCAACAAACTGTGCAAGATAAGAGACTATCAAAGGACACAAATACCAGGATTAAAAAAACCAAAAACAAGTTTTGCATGCATGTCCTGTTTTTCCTCTTCCCATTTTTGAATAACAGGTCCTCTTGCCGTATTAAAAGCATGCGCTCCTAAATGCACAACAGAAACCACTCACTCGTCGGCCATCCCAGGTATAAGCTATTCACCCTTCGTTCCACTGTATGTTTGTAATAATTACACACTGATGAAGGCACAACTGCACACCCACACAGATTTCCACGTGAATCCGTGTGTGTAGACCTCAAAGCACAGCCACACATACCACACCAACAACTTGGGTACATTTTCTGGAAGACTGAAGCAGTCCTCAGCTCACCTAAGGTGATCATCCGAAAGACATGGCAAGCGGTGGTTTCTTCACTCACCTTGTTCAAGCGGCTGGCTTTTGGTTGAAGTTGTTTTCATCTTGAGTGCCTCCCTCACCGACATGTCACAACACGAGCCTTTGTTGGTATCTTGGTCACTGTCTGCTTGGTCACTATCCCCATGCCCGCTGTCTCTCAAACTGGCTCGTTCGGGATCCTTGAATGTGGAGCTACTGACATTTGGACATGAAGAGGAAGAGAACGAGAGAGGGAGGGAGAGAGGGGGAAGGAGGGAGGGAGAGACAGAGAGAAAGAGAGGGGAGAGGAAAGGGAAGAGAAAGGGGAAGAGGGAGCGAGAAAGAGTGAAAAAGGGGGAGGAGAGAAAGATAAGGAGAGAGGGGGGAGGGAGAGAGGGGGAGAGGGAGAGAAGGGGAAGGAGGGAGAAAGAGAGAGAGAAAGGAAGAGAGGGTGGGAGGGAGAGAGAGTGGGAGAAGGGAAAGAGAGAGGGAGGGAGGGAGAGAGGGAGAAGGAGGGAGGAAGAGAGAGAGAAAGGAAGAGAGAGGGGGAGGGAGAGAGAGGGGGAGAGAGGAGGAGGGAGAGAGGGAGAGAGGGGAAGGAGGAAGGGAAATAGAGAGAAAGAGGGGGGAGGGAGAGGGGGGAGGAGAGAGAGAGAGAAAGAGAAATGTCAAACTTGTATTTACTTGGCCCCTAATTTGAATTGTAGTCTCTGGCAAACAATTTTGACAGGAATGCAAATGGGGAAGCCAAGAAAGTTATTTAATAGGGCCTTACCTTTGAACAAACTGTTGCCTGCTACCCATGTAATTGGACTCTGCAGGAAAATTGTCTGTCTGTGAAAGAGAAGGAAAAAAAAATACATCTAGTTGCAAACTGGACAAATCTCCTGCAGAGCAACAAGACTTCCTAGAGGTGGAATGATTAATAATTCCAATAAGAAGAGAAGAAGAAAAAAAAGAAACAATTCCCTCTTAACCTTCAGATTCCTACTTTTTAATTTCCCTGGAAAATGTCAGCATATTATGATATACCATTAAAGCGATCCTGGTCCACAAATTACCTCCTAAAAACAAAAAAAGGAAGATTTACACAAAGAAATGCTTTGTAATCAGGCAGAATGCACTTCTTCTTAAATGCTCTAAGAAGGCAAGATTGAGTGACAGTAGTTGGCACATCCCTTTGCAACTGAACAATGCATTCATGTGTTCTCTAAACCAGAAAGCTTTTTAAAAAAAAAATCCCAGAAGAAATGATAATTAATAAACAAATTTCTTGTGATAGAATGAACTCTTTTCCAGTTAGTCTCTCACTGAACCTCACCAATTTCTCCTGCAGACTATTATTCCCAAAGATTAGATAAATAGATGATGGATGGATGGATGGACAGATAGATAATGGATTGATGGGTGATAGGAAGAATAGAATAGAATAGAATAGAATGGAATGGAATGGAATGGAATGGAATGGAATGGAATGGAATGGAATGGAATGGAATGGATGGAATGGAATGGAATGGAATGGGTGGAATGGAATGGAATGGAATGGAATGGAATGGAATGGAATGGAATGGAATAGAATAGAACAGAATAGAATAGAATATTGGAATGGAATGGAATGGAATGGAATGGAATGGAATGGAATAGAATAGAATAGAATAGAATAGAATAGAATAGAATAGAATAGAATAGAATAGAATATTGGAGTGGAATGGAATGGAATGGAATGGAAGGAAGGAAGGAGAATAAAATAGAATAGAATAGAATAGAATATTGGAATGGAATGGAATGGAATAGAATAGAATAGAATAGAATTTAAATGGAATGGAATGGAATAGAATAGAATGGAATGGAATAGAATAGAATAGAATAGAATAGAATAGAATAGAATAGAATGGACCTTGGAGGTCTTCTAGACCATCCCCCTGCTCTGGCAGGAGACCTTATATCATTTCAGATAAGTGGTTGACAAGTCTCTTCTTAAAAGCCTCCAGTGATGAAGTACCATGATTTCTGAAGGCAAGTCATTCCATTGTTTAATTGTCCTCACTGTTAGGAAATTTCTGCTTGATTCCAGGTTGTTTCTCCCTTTGATTAGTTTTCACCCCCTCTGATGCTTTGGCAGGAAGAGGAGGAGGAGGAGGAGGAGGAGAGGGAGGGAGGGAGGAAGGAAGGAAGGAAGGAAGCCCTGCTCCAGAAAGCCAGTTCACCCTGCAATAATTACGTGTTATATTTATCAACTCACCCGTAGATTAATCAATTTTGCAGTCAAGAGAAAACTAGAGTTAGGGAGAAGAGTTCTAAACTAATTAGTTTAATTTGTTATTTATGCACTGTTTTTTTTTAATCATGCAGTCCTCGACCTCACTTCATCATACCCTGAAACTGCACAATCCAATAACAGTTTTATCCTTCTGAGAACTGTTCATTTCGGAGGTCCTTGTTGTGTATCTGTTCATATAAACACACACACACACGCGCACGCTCGCACACACATACGATGGTCTCAGTTGACAGATGTTCATGCACACAGCAGCAAATTGGCTGTTTGATGGTGACTGGAAGGATCAGCAGCATTTATTAGCGATAATATGAAGGGAATCAGATACTTGTCATCAGAAAAGATTATTTTTCCAGGACTGAGAGGAACTAGATCACCCAGATACCATGTATATTTACAGACACAGATAGGATGTGACTCAGCCACTGCTTGCTACTATATTTCCTGTGAGGAATGTTCAGCGATGAAAACTGGATTAAGATAAACTATGGCACAAATAGGCCTAACATTTTAAAGCATTAAACCCAAACTGGGGACTCTTGTTTTTAGAGGTTGGTATTTTCTTTCCCAGGATGTCCATGTTTCTTACTTTTTTATTTAATAGAGGAAAATGAGATCAATTTTGTCTCTCATACACATACATGCATAAGTATAGCATCGCCTCTCTGGAGTCTCTTTTCTTGTTGCCTACTCACTCAGTAAAGACTTATGAAAAGAAATGAGGGTTGCTAATTTTGTGACCTAAGAAAGGATAAAGGTTTCCCCTTGTCCAACTCTAGGGGACGATGCTCATTTCCATTTCCAGCATTGTCTGAAGACGTTTTCATGATAATGTGGCCAGCGTGGCTATATGCCAAAGGTGTATAGAAAGCTGTTACTTTCCACCAAAGTGGTACCTATTTATCTACTCACATTTACATGCTTTCAAACGGCTAAGTTGGCAGGAGGTGAAGCAAGTAATGGGAACTCATGCCATCACACAGTGCTTGGGTCTCAAACATAAGATGTCAGCTTTCCATTGACAAGCTCAGCGTCTTTTAACTACTGAACCATCACACCCCCTTGTTACTCAAGTATGAGTAATTAATTGAGTTTTCAAGTCAGATTTTTGACTCCTGCTTGGACTAGTTTCCTTGGCAAGGTTTTTTAGATATAATTTGCCATTGCCTCCTTCCTAGGGCTGAGAGAGAACAATTGGCCCAAGTCTGTAGAGATTCTCAAGTCATCCAGGTCACGGTTGTCCCAAAAGTGCATTTTCAGGAGCTGACTGGACTTCGTTTTTTTGTTTTTTGTTTTTCTTTTGAAGACGTTTTGCTTCTTGGATGAGAAGTGAAACATTTTCAAAAGAAACAAAAACAAGGAAATTCAGTTGCCTCCTGAAAAAGCACCTTTGGAACAATTGGTCCAAGTCAAGTCAAGTCAAGTCTCGTCTTGGGTGATAATACAAAAATTTATGCCACCAGATAAAGACTGAATGCACCAATTATCACATTAAACAAGAGGAAAACCTTCTACACACCAATTCCACCCACACTTTCTACAATTTTGTAAACAACAAACTAAAAGACTCAAGGTCCATCCCACCCCTGAAAGTATCTAATGGTAAAGACTGCAATGACAACACCATTAAAGCCAACCTCTTTAACACATTCTTTGGCTCAGTATTTGTAAACAGCAATGGATCATGCCCAGTATTTCTAGCCAAACCACAGAAAACTACAATGATCTAATACATATCGATTTTTACAGAAGACAATGTTGAAAAAGCACTATGCAATCTAAAACCATCTGTCTATTGGACCGGATGGAATATGTGCCTACTTCTTAAAAAAGCTATCCATTGCCATAGCAGAACCTCTAAGCATAATCTTTGAAAAATCTTTCAGGACCAACTCCTTGCCTAACCTATGGTCACAAGCCACGGTCATCCCCATCTTCAAAAAGGGAGACCCCAACCTAGTTGAAAATTATAGACCAATCTCCTTATGCTGCATCACCTGTAAAGTCATGGAATCAATCATGAACCAATCCATTATCCTCCACTGTCTACTATTGACCTCACCCCTTTCCTAAGAGGTCTGTAGGGGGCGTGCATAAGCGCACCAACATGCCTACTGTCCCTGTCCTATTGTTTCTTTTATTTTTCTTATATGTACCCATTTTATGTATTCATGATTATGCATATACTTATACCTATTATCTTGTAAGCGATTGATAAATCAAAATAAATAAAATAAAAGTCCACTCATCTGATTTCATGTCCCGGACAGGACTAGCACCCAGTCTCTCTATTTCTAGCCTGATGCCCAATGCCATTTTTTTCTATCCCAACACCCAACTGCCTCCCGTAACTATGAAATATACCTCAACTCTTCCAATCTAACTTCTCTGGTGATCTGTTTCATAGACAGTACAGTGCTTTAGTCTTCATCTTCAAACATTGCTTAAGCATAAGTAAGCTTCAGAATCCTGCAGATATGAGCAGATGACTAAAGTACTTCCATAAACAGAGAAAACTGTATTATGAGTGCCATGCCAATGCGACAGTATTTTATAATCCACACTTATTTGTCTTTGTGGTGAAAGGTGTACAGAATTGCCAGATCAAGCATGCAATTGATGTTTTCTCACAGAATTCTCATATTTTAAGTTTGGTGGCATTTCTTTTTCATCTCAGTAATTAATTGCAGAGTAGGAGGTTATTTGCAGCATGAATTGAAAACAGACAAAACCTCGAACTGAACCCTTCTTGTTGTTTTGCTTCTAGTTTTCCTTGGGTGACAGAAGAGGCTATCGGAGAGTATTTCAGCACTGTATAAATATCTACATAGTGCAGCTGGACGAATGACAGAACTCCTACTGTGTTTTCCATCAGATCATGCTGTACCTCTCTTCACAGCAGCAACTTGCATTTATCGAGGGCTTTTTTATCTAGCTAATAATCAGCATCTGTGCCAGATGCAAAACTCTATAAGAGGTGCAGAGCTGACCAAGATGGGAATTGTCCCTCCATTTCTGGCATCCAGGATACCCTTGGTGTTGAATATTTAATCTGGCTGAATGCAAAATAGTTGGGAAAAACAAACAAACAGGAGCTCAGAAAACTCCTTTGAACTCTTCATTGCCTTAAGCCATTGTGATGTCATCCTGGTCAGCCAAAGGACATCATCCTCAATTACAAGTTACAAATGGCAAATCAAATCAAATATCTTTATATGGATCTCTGACTGGCCTCCACAATAAAGGGTACAGTAAAAAGACAAAACAGATTAACACAGCAATTTGTTATGGGAGAAGGGGAAAATAATAATAGGACAATAAACTTTGAAAGATGTGAAATTAAGTTTTGCAGTTGCATAATCTGGTGGAGATATTTGAGCAGCTGATAAGTAAGTGTGGGATTAGTACTTGTTAAAAAATAATAACTATATTTATCTTTCTGGCCCTCTTTTTAGAAATGATGGGGTGATTAGAACATATCTTAGGGCAGTGGTGGCTAACCTTTTATGGCTCCCGTGATGAAAATTGTGTGCTTGCGTGCCAGCATCCAGAAGCC